CGACCCAGACGACACACACGCCATGGACCCGCGGCTGCGCCCAGACATATTCCGCTACGACGCTCTCGAGAAGGTGCTGATTGGGGGCGAGGCCATCTCCTACGACACGCTTGTCGCGCGGGGCATGCCGCCGTCGGCTATGGACAAGGACGTCTTCTCGCTGTCGCCGCAGCATCCGCAGCCGGGCGCCTCGTGCCCGCCCGTCACGCTCAAAGCGACCGAGCTGGCCGGCGGCGGCGGCCTTTTTCTCTGTTTCGCATTTCACCACGGAATCCTCGATGGCGGCTTCATACGTACCTTCCTGGACTATTTTGCCAGTGGCGAGGAGGCCCTCGAGGACGACAACGGCGACGACGACGATGACGACGACGATGACGATAACGACTACGACTACGAGGCCGAGCTGAGCAGCATGTCGAGCCTCCTGGACGAGACGGTGCAGCAGGAGGAGGAGGAGCATGCAGTACTCCGCCACGACGAGCTCCCCGAGTACGACTTTGGTGACGGCTACGAGCTGGCAGGCGCCGAGACGGACGGCGGGACGGACAGCAGCAGAGCCACGTGCCGCATCTTTCGTTTCGATCACGCCGTGCTTCAGGAGCTGCATGGCATGGCCGTCGAGCAGCAGCCGCACGACGGCTTCCTCAGCACGGTAGACGTGCTGTGCGCCCTCGTACAGGTGCATGTGTGCCGCGCGCGCTACAAGGCCGGTCTGCTACGCGGCGGCGGCGGCAGGATCGGGCCAGACGAGCCGGCGGCCTTCTCGACGGCCGGCGACTTCCGCGACCGCGGTGCAACAGCCCGCCGTAGCAGGGGTTCATGGGGCAACATGTGGGCGCAGGTCATGGTCATGGACAGCGGCGCGACCGTGCGGCGGCTGATCGCGCTCCACGACGACGACAACGACGCAGTAGCAGTGCCCGAGGACCCCATCCCCGCGGTGCTAGCCCAGGCGCGCCGGATCCGTGCCGCCATCGCCGCCGCCGGTGCCGACGCCGACTACATGCCGAAGCGTATCGCTCTAGCCCGGCGGCTGCTAGCCTCTGACGTGGGAAGCAGTATAAGCAGCAGCATGAGCAGCAGCATAAGCAGTAACATGAGCAGCAGTATCAGCATCAGCAGCGCCAGCACCAGCACCAGCATCAGCTGTGGCGACGACGAGGCCCATGCGGTGCTCGGCGCGGCGCACGGCCGGGCGCTCCAGCCGGGGCGGGCCGGGCTGGGCTGCAGCGTGTGGGCGCACATGGGGGCCGACGCGTGCTTCGCCATCCCCGGCACCGAGGGCGACGGCCGCGCCGACTTTGTGCGCAAGACGTGGTCGGCCTCGGACGGCTCCATGAACGTCATGCAGCGCCGCGGCGGCACAAAGGCCGGCCGCGAGCCCTGGGAGGTACTCCTGGCCCTGCGCCGCGAGGACATGGAGGTGCTCTGCCGCGACGACGAGCTCGGCCGCTGGGCGAGCGGCTGGGTCGAGTAGCGCGTATTTTCTTGCCGGTGCGATTGGATGGGGACCTGGTCTTGCGATGTTTTTTTTTTCCCCTTCTCGTTCGGACTTTTCTCAATAGCTAGCGTTCAAGGCGCACGGGCGTACATATGAAAAAAAGGGACTCTTTGCAATGGGGCAAAGACACTTTTCGGTATTTTAGTTAGCAACTTTTGTATGATACCCGCAACTATATGGTCGAAAACTGACGCTAAACAGCCCGGTGACATCTCGTTCTAGTGAAGCCAGGCGGATGACGGTGCATATTCAGTGGCCCTTGATATGAACATTATATTCCCGTCTCCCTGTGCGGTCAAAGCGTGATAGCATGGGATACATCATGGATAATACCAAGCAGAACGCTGCCTATAAAGACATCAGGCAACAGGGCACACGTCAAAAGCATCTCGTCAGATACAATGTTCATCATCAGCGCAAACCCCTGCGCCTTCCACTCAATTAAATACCCGCCCTCCCTCTTTAAGGCGTGGGAGGGCCATCGTTAACCACCCTCTATGTGTACACATTACTCCCAGCACGTAGTTGTTGTTTCTTTCTTAGCTACCGCGGCGTCCCACCCAGTGAGGCCGTCGGCTAGATTGACCTGCCCGCGACCCCCTACGCGCGATGAACGTACAGCAAGCACGCACCCATCCTGCGCCGGAGGAGCCGAGTTTCGCAACCTGGAGAAGCTCGGACGGCGCCTTGGACAAGGCGAGGGTATCCACGCCACACAATTGTTTTGCTTTTACTTCTTGAGGGGCTGCAAGATCGACTTTCCGGCGGCCTTGGCGGCAGCGAGCGCGCCAGAGAGGCCATACTGCGTGGGAACACCCTCGATGCGGTGAGTCGAGTTGAGGTTCTTGACGCAGACAATCTGGAAGCAGGTGGCGCTGCCCTGGCGTGAGGCAATGGTAGACGAGGCAAGGAAGTACTCCCAAATCTAGAGGCTCGAGTTAGAAACTGTGTGTGCGTGTGTGTGTGTGTGTGTGTACTATGACGTCCAAGAACAAAAAGGCTCTTGTTTTAGTGGAGAAATCTTACCCTGTACCACTTGTCGCCGTACTTGGCCTTGACCTTGTCCTTGTTGCCGAGCCAGTTGCGGTACCATCTCCAAAGGGTGGCAGAGTAGTGGACACCAATAGTGTCGACGCTAGGTTTGGAGGAGAGTTTGTTAGCGTTGAGATCATTCGGGGCTGGGCAGCAGCTGAGGACAAAGACTCTGCTTACCTCTTGATCTCGAATCCGGCGGCCTCGAGCTGGTCGACGTAAGGGCCGAGAGGCGTGGACGCGTCGGCACCGGGGAAGATGTACTTGTTCATAAAGAGACCCCAGATGAAGTCCTCGTACTGCCAAGCTTTGCGCAGACCGGAAACCTGGACGTAGAGCACGCCGTCGTCGACGAGGTGGTCCGAGACCTGGCGCCAAAAGGTGACCATGCGGCGGACGCCGACGTGCTCGGCCATCTCGAGCGCGGTGATCTTGTCGAACTTCTCGGCGTTGGGGATGTCGCGGTAGTCGCAGCACAGCAGCCTGCTCTGCTCCTCGGGCACGCCGGCGGCGCGGAGGCCGGCGTTGCCCCACGCGACCTGCTCGCGAGCCAGGGTGACGCCCGTGACCTTGGCGCCGTAGTTGACCGAGGCGAAGCGGGTGAGCGTTCCCCAGCCGCAGCCAATGTCGAGAAGGCGGTCGCCCTCCTTGAGCCCGATCTTCTCCATGACGACCGACAGCTTGTTGTCCTGCATCTCCTCCAGCGTCTCCTCGCGCGTGGGGTCCGAGATGATGCCCGAGGTGTAGATCATGCGGGGTCCCAGGAACCAGGCGTAAAAGTCGTTGCCGCGGTCGTACGTGTCCCGCACCTGGTCCTCGTCCTGGGCGCGCGTGTGGAAGATCACGTCGGGGAAGAAGGTGAAGAAGAGGAACTTGAAGGTGTTGACGGTGAAGTTGAAGGTGGTCCAGTCGTGGCGGTACTCGAGCACCTCGAGCATGTCGCCATTGACCTCGACGTCGCCGTTGAAGTACATCTCCTGGAATGTCTCCTGCGCGATCTTGGCGCCGCGGACGCCGTAGCGGGCCTTGTCGGCGGGGTTCTTGAAGGTCAGGTAGAAGTCGAGGGGGCGGCCGGGCAGCTTGACCTTGTCGTTGACGCGCGGGCTGAAGTTGGACGTGAAGGTCCAGAAGGCGATCAGGATGGGGATCGCGGTGAGGAGGAAGAAGAATATGGTGGTCTTGAGGCCGCCACCGAGCTTCCAGGCGAGGAAGGTCGGGGCGCCGACGAGCAGCGAGATGAGCAGGCCATTGGAGAAGTCAGCCGCTCCAGGGCCGTCGGCGGGTAGGGGCGGGTTGTAGATGGAGGGAGACTGCGTGGTTTTATGTAGGTTAGCAAGAGGGGGTAGTTGATCTACAGCGGTCTCCTCATGCTCACTTACAGTGGTGAGCTTCACGCCAACCTTGTCGCCCAGCGATTCGATGGTCGACTTCGCCTGCGGAGGCGTCGGCGGGAAGTCGACGTCCTTTTCCGTGAGGGGAGCCATGTTCTGCAGGCTTCTTGCAAAGATGGCAGAGCGAATTGGGCTGCTGGAGCAAGAGTCCGCAGCTTCTTCGCATGGGAGGGAAGAAAGGAACTTGATATGTGTCCAACGATTTTGGCCGGGTCGAGAAAAAAAATAAGAATGCGGCTCGCCTAGCTAAGGTGGGCAAAATCCCCGCTACATGGCCCGGGCGCCCACACAATGCAGGGTCCGTCCGCTACACCGCCAAATGCCCCAATCGCACACCGGTGGCAGTTTCACGTAGTGCGTCTCGGGAGTTGAGCGCTGTGAGGAGCTGGGGGTTGGGGGAATGGCTGGGTGGTGGAGCGGCGGGAAATGAGCAGATTGGGCGCCCGTTTTTGGTGGCCAGGCCCAGGATAGGGGGAAATTCCCAGGAACCCGCTCTGGGCCAACGAAGCACACCAGATGCTCAACAGATCTGCGGACGCCCGCCGCTTCTTGGCCCGCCATCGATGCCATCCACTCCTACATGCAAGGCGCCTCAAGACAGACACCGGGTAGCGAGGGCAATCAGCCACATGAAGAGAGATTGCTTTGCTTGCTGGCAGTGATCCATGCCCCGCCACGAAGCCCAAGCGCTTGCCCTTCCTTCACCGTCCATCCAAAGGGAAGCCCTCCATTGCTGTACCGGCACCTATCGGTGGCCGCGGGAACGTGGGCGGGCCAATGAACCAACCCTCACTGTGGAGCTAGATGGCCGGGAAGACCCCCGGGGCTGGAGAAAAGAAAAAAGATGCCACATGTTAAAAAAAAAAAAAAAAAAGAGTATCATCCATCCGTTGGGCCGGCGAGATTCCAGAACACCACCAGGTTTCTAAACTGGGGGGACGGACCGTACATAGAGGGCAACAAGTCCAGCCAAAGCCAAAAGATGTGACCACCAAGGCAAGCTGGCACCTACTTCAGACCCGGGAAGAAAAAGGAGCGAGTGAGTGAGACACAAAGGCAGCCTCAGCAAAAGTGAATGCCCACTGTCAGAATCGAACTGACGATCTTATCATATCATGAGGTCTCCCTACTAGTGATACGCTTTACCACTAAGCCAAGCGGGCTGTTACGGTTGATGGTTGGCAGGGTTCCATCTTGGCTTTATATAGCCGAACGAATCAAGCATCCAGGTCTGCATACATGTGGAGATTCAGGGGCCACAAAGACGCAGGGTGCAGCTCGGAAACACAAGCCGGTGGCCACATGTCCTGGTTCTCTCAAATGTAAAAGAAAGAAAAAATCCCCCACAGCACATTTAATCATCAACACGGAAAAGAGGGAATACGAAGTTAAATGAAAAAAGATCAGTTTCAATGGGCTTCTCTAAAAAGTGAGCCAGGTATCTATACGCTAACAAATTAATAGCACGCTATGCCTATCTGTCAAGGCTGCCATGGCAGATCAAACTCAGATGTTCCCGCCAGAATGCCGGAACGCCGCGCAAAACGAAAAAAAGAAAAAGAAAAAGAAACCCATATGAATATAATGACAGAGACGGAATGGATGACATAGAAAAAAAAAATGGAGTATAAAAACGAGTACAAAAGAGATCAACTCCAGACGTCAGTCAATAGTGCCATCAGAGGATCGTAAAGGAAAAAAAAAAAAATAAGAAAAGAAGAGCACACAGTTTGCGGATGGTATAATAAAAAAAAACTAAAGAAAAGAAAATCGAAGTGGAGTGAGTATCAACGCAGACAGACACCACCTATGCTTTTCGTGGTGAATCATTTAGTTTCTGCTGAAGCTGCGAAAGTGCCGCGGAGTCCGCGTGACTTGCGGCGTGACGGCCGTCGAGTCGCCGCGCCTGTGTGCCCGCTCAAAGTAGCGGGCGCTGGTCGTGGGCGGAGTGTCGGGGGAGACGGCGTCGTCCGGCACCTCA